TCAGACAGGATGCGTCGCCTGTGGAGTTCTTCCTTTAGAATCAGCTGACAGGTCCCAACAATGTCGCACAAGTCGTTGATGGTACGACGTCGATCTTCGTAACATTTTCGGGCGTTGTGCTCGAAGATGGTCGTCCAGAATGCTCGTCATCATCGACAGGGGTTCGGCCATTTTTAAAACGTGAATGCCACACCAAAGTTTGCGGACTCCCCAAATGCTTGCTTTAGCATTTCATAGGTTTCCGTAGCCGTTTCGGCGAGTCTTTGGCAAAATTTGATGCACACGCCATTCCGAAATCGCAGGAGGGTCGGTGTAATGCACTACCAAAACGCCCGTAACTAAGAAACAAATGCTAATTCGATGATGCCGGCTGGCTCACTGATTCACTATGAATGTAGGCCGCACCCCCTAGCGGCAGATGCTCGTACTACATCCGGTTCGTCCTCTATTGACACAGTCTTGAAACTTTCCGATCGCACCTCGTAAGTCTGACACTCCAAACTCCACGTCTGTTAACCTATAGACATGTGTTACGCACTGAAGATCATGAACTTCCCATATGATGATGTCTTAAGTAGTGATTCATTGCTGCGCTGGTAACTGATGAATGCGCTCTGTTAGACTGTGGTAGGCCTTTGGATATTTGTATTTGGGAGCGACTCGGACGTGGAAGTTACATTGATGAATGTCGTATTAAATTCGCGAAATCTTCCGGTTCAGAACTTCAGTATTCTCGTGTGCTCTCTAAGAACGCAAATATTAAATAATTTTCTTCGTTGTTTTGAATGGGTGTGAAACATGGTTTCACATTAACAAGTGAACAACGTAGATGACTGAAGGTTTTAGAGACCTGGAGGCCGACAAATGACGAGTTGTATTATTTGTAAACTTCCTTTCGCGTTTACTTATTTTGTTTTCCTTCAATTTTCCAACCTTTATTTATTAATATTTTATATTCGTAAGATTTTCATCTTTGGTCCTATATCTATCCCAATATTCCCACTCGCGACCCTGACAACGGCGACAGTAAGATTTTCTGAAACGTCGGTCAGCATCCAGATTACACGCATTTTTGTGCCTATCACAGTTATAATATGTGTTAGGAATTAGCCTACATCATGTTCATAGCGAAGGCTTTGTGTTCAGTTTGTCTTATAACCAAAGTATGGAGACGTATACCTCTGAAACGTCGGTTTACACCTGTATTGCCGATGTTGTCCACCGTGGCGGGACTAAGTTGGACGCGTTCGTGCAAACATTATGTCCACTTCACTCATAAATCAGCTCGAGAACAGATATCACGATTTATTCAATTTTAATATACGACAATTTTACAGTTTTCATGTAGATTGATCGATTTTAACGATGATTTTAAACGAGATCATAAACAGTGTTGCGTAACTGAGTCTTAATGTAACTCGGTAAACGTTTCCTAAGGCATTACTCATAGACAGTTGGTCATCATGTCATGCACGGTTCAGTTATCTCGCCTTGCGTATGGCAACAGATTTCTCCCACCGCGATCACTGTCTCTGACTTCACAGACTTACGTATTTAGGTTAGGTTTGCTTTGCATCGTATCGCATGTTAAAGTATATGAGATATTTGTCTCGTGTTTAGATTGATATACGTATGTAAATAGGCATATAAATCTATATTTAAATAAAAATGTCTCTTTATATTTTACAATTTTTATCGCAGTCGAAGAAATAAAACATTTTTTAAAAGTCAGTTCCGCAAACAGTTAATTCAGCGATAAAATAACAAAGAACATTCAAAATGTATCCAGAGGTACCAACGTGAGAAGAATTTCATACAAAATACACTAGAATTTGTATGTGCTGATGTGATTAATCAGCAACTGCGTGTCTCATACGACAGTCGGGAAGACCAAATTTAAAAGTAATTTAACCAAACGTTTTCCGTTGGTTCCTTTAAACTCATGCAGAACTTTAACGTACGTTAAATTCGCTATTTGTCGGGGTGGGCTTATATTTAATTTTACACGGACGTCCCGATGTTTAAGTATTTCGTAAGCGAACACATTTTTTATCTCAAGCAGAATTCATCATAAATATTAATATACATGCATTTGCTGTGGAGTGCTGTCTGCTTGTTCTGTCTTAAAGCAAGTAATGTTTGGTACGTTCCACGGATCCGCGCCTTAAATTGTATTCTAGATAAATCACTTCGTAGATTTGAGGTTTTCACAGCGGTGAGTATGAAGATTTCTGTCTTCTGGGTTGTTGCGCTGTGTAGTCTGGTCGATGTTTACCAACGTTTCAGAGGTCATACTGC